AAAGAGGAAGAGGTAGTTTTACCTATATAGCCAAGAGTGTGGATCTGGAGGCTTGAGAAAATGCAGAAGGTTTTGAAGAGATAATGTGGATAATATAAGAAATTAACATTATGGGAGAGATATGGTGGGATAATTTCTGAGCATCGTGGAAGGTGGGATTGCAAATCTTCTGTAAATTGAAATGCATTAATTTAGAGTAGAGATAATGAATGCTGATAGGGGCCAGGCAGGAAGCCAAGGGAGCTGATGGTAACAGTAGAGAGTAGTGAGGACTGTGACCAACTGGAGATCACTGTCCCCTGAAGGGGGCAACAACTACTCAATTCCCACTGGTTGGGCCTGTGTTCCTAAAGGCAATAATGTTGCTCGATCCTCGATTTTAAAGAGAAACTAGAAATACACAATTTTTTGAAATTTTCCCACTTGTTTAAATGTTGACAATTTTTAAAATAGGGTACAATGTGTTTCGTTGGACTTGTTTCTCCACTGTTTTTGCATTCTAGGCCTGAAAGATGGGAGTAAAGAATGGTGTCTCATGATATTACCTAGTTGTCTAGTTTCTGACTTCATCTCCTGCTGCTCTCCCCCTCACTGTTCCAGTCACGCTGGTCTCCTGATGCCCCTTTGAATATGTCAGGCACAATCTTGCCCCAAAAGCTTGATGCACTTGCTATTCTCTCTGTCAATATTTCTTCCACTGGTATTTGCATTACTCACTCCTTTACCTTCTTTCAAGTTACTTTTTCAGGGTTTCTTTGACTACCCGATTTAAAATTGTAACATCTTCAACAGCATTCCCTAGCATCCTTTTCTTACTCTCTATCACCTTATCACTAACACCCACACCTTTGATTACCATTTGATATGCTTCCTCTTTTGCATATCTTTCTTATCCATAGGAATGTGGACTGCTTGAAAACAAGGATTTTTTTTTTTTTCTGCTATATTTCCAGGCCCTAAGAGAGAGCCTGGAATATAGTCTGGACTGACATAATTCAATTGTGGTTTAACCATCTTTATACCTAGTCATTTTAGCTGCAGATGTAGAATTATTTTTCTATTTTAAATAGTTTATATTTTAAATATTTCCATTCAGGAAGAGATTGTTTCTCAAGAATAAGTATATGACAGTAACATACCAATGAAAATTATTCTATTAAATAATGTGAGAACCTACATCTTAATATTTATCACAATTGTCTTAGCAGTGGATATTAGAAGTTGGAGTATGAGGATGGGTAAGAAGGGAAAAGACTGGAGATGGGTGATTTGCACATCTGGTAAGATGTGTAAGTCCTTCTCACTGAAGATAACTAGAAAAGCCAAGTTAAATATAAAAATTAACTTCCTAGAAGCATCAAAAGTCTACCAACCTCATGAAGGATTACCTAGGCCAAGATCCAGAAGAAGAAACAAATTTAGAAAAGTACCAAAGCGAGGTCCAAATTTTACCTGTATGATGACCACTTGTACACCTAATCCTGAATCATATACCACATATTTAAAATAAAGAAAAATGGGTCCAGTAATTAGGGGGCTCCATCTGCCAATGCATTAGAGGTAGAGTTACCAGATAAAATACAATTACATCTAAATTTCAGATAAACAACAAATATTTTTAGTATAAGTGTGTCCCAAATATTGCATAGGATATGCCTATACAAAAAAAAAGTATTTGCTGACAATCTAAAATTCAAATTTAGCAACTAACAATGCAGAACAGCTGGTTAAATTTGAATTTCAGATAAACAATAAATATTTTTTAGCCGGGCTCAGTGGCTCAGCCTGTAATCCCACGCTTTGGGAGGCTGAGATGGGTGGATTGCCTACGCCCGCGGGTTCAAGACCTGCCTGGGCAACTTGGTGAGACCTCATCTCTACAATAATTCAAAAAAAATTATCCAGGTGTGGTAGCACACGCCTGTAGTTCCAGCTACTTGGAAGGCTGAGGCGGAAGGATCACCGGAGCCCAGCAGGTCAAGGCTGCAGTGGCCGGGAGCAGCCACTGCACTCCAGTCTGGGTGACAGAGTGAGATTCCAGCTCAAAACAAACAAACAAACAAACAAAAAAAACAATAAATATTTTTAGAATACGTATATCACAAACATTAATGAGATATACCTATACTAAAAAACCTTATTTATTGATAATCTAAAATCCAAATTAAACTAGGTGCTTTGCATTATTATTTGGTAAATCTGGAAACCATAAGTGAAGGAACTGAGAAACTAAATGGTACTCTTGATAGCCTCTCAAGACTATGGGGTTAAAATTTGGAGTTGAGAGTTGATCAAGAGAGGAAAAAGCAGCCAACAATCCCTCACTTCTTGTAGTAAGCCTGATGAGTTGAACCCTAGAAATGAACATGAACCCAAGGTAAATTGTTCTTGCATAAACTCCAAGCCTCATTTGGGTAGCTTGGAAAAACAATTTTAATGCTGAATACCGATAGTCCCAGATTGCTAGTGCCTCCCAGTGCCTGAAAGAAACAACTGAAAATCTCAGGAGGAAGATAATATTATCCTATTTTATAAATAGTTTTTTATTGTTGTTAGAACAATAACTCAGCAAAATAAAATTCCTGTTTATTTTTGGACAGCATAGCTTCACACATAGATCAAACAGGACAAAAAATAAACAGTAACTACATAAACAAAAAAGGGGGGAAAAAGAAACCTTTTCTTTGGTCTTTTTAACGGTCTCGTACAAACCAACTACTTATAGTACAGCTAAGTACACAGAAAAAGTTACTGGAACGGCGGGAAAAGATTTTTTGTTGCTGTTGGTTTTGCTGTTTTTACAATGTTGTTTTTTTTTTCCTCCTTTGAGATTATAATGAACATGTTCATACCACAAGTAAAGTCAGAAGTAGGAAAGAGAACCAGAGAACTCTCTGGAAACTGGTTTGGTCAGCCGAGATCATTTAAAATGACTGACCCCCTGACCGTAGGTACAAAACATAAAATGTAAATTAAAAATACGAACTAATTTCTTTTTTAAAGCACTTTTAAGAAAAATAGCAGGGCCTTGGAAGTTTTGGTGCTTTTTTCCTCCCCTGTTGCAAATTCTCATGGTTTTGGAGGGGTGGTGGAGAGCACGTGTCACCCGCGCATGGCGCTGCCCGCGGGCCTCTCTACTCCCGAGTGACCACGTGGAGATTCTGAAACGGGAAGTGGAGGGTGGGTAGGCTATGGCAGCCTTTTCTTTCTTTTTAGTGTAACTTTTCCCTTTTTGCTGTCTAGTCCTCCTCATCGGTCTTCTGTTTCTTAGAATCAACATCGCCGTCCTCATCATCTTCAGCTGCCGGCTTGCCCGTGGCGGCCTCGGCTTCCTCATCTTCATCCTGCTCACCATCACCTTCCTCCTCCTCATCCTCCTTGCCACCTTCTTCCTCTACCTCAGTGTAAGCCTCCTGCTCCCTGTCTTCCTCCTGCGTATTCCCATCAGCAGGGGTGTCTCTTCCATGTTCAGGCCAGTCCATGTTCAACTACTTCCTCCTCTTTTAAGTCCTGGGTGGTGATCTCGGTGCTGGTGTCCCCAGCTGCGTGTGACCTGGTGGGGCACGCCGGTGTTCCGATGCAAGGGACGCAACACGCGAGTTGCAGGAAGCTTCGGGAGTCAGCCGCGGTGCCGGCGGCAGAGGCTAGCAGAGAGCCCAATCCAGAACAAAGCAAAGATGGCTTTTCAGAGCAGCCAGTCCGTTTTTTTCAAGCATAGTGTCCACAGTTCTATACACGCAAATATAACCAAGGACATGAAGCTAGGAAAGATGACAAAGACTCAACACAAACAGATAAAAGAAACAAGTACGGAAACAGACCCACTAGTGCTACAGATAATGGAATTATCAGATGACTGTACAGTCGTGCACATGGAGATTACAGCCAACTTTAATTTCAGTTAGATTCCTGAAACAAAAGGCGAAATTTTTAAATCTGCAAAGACACAAAGACTCAGCTACAAATTCCAGAACTAAAAAGATAGGGGTGTGTGTGTGTGTGTGTGTGTGTGTGTGTGTGTGTGTGTACATGCACACATGTTGATGGCTCGGGTGAAGGGGCATTGTTTTATTTTGACAGATCTAAATCAATATAGTGAAAAAAACTTGGTTGACCTACCCATTAAGTTATCATCAAGTGATCGTGTGAATAAAATTAATGAAATATCAGAGGCAGAATTCCCTGCTTACATCTAAAATGTAGGAAGTTACAATAAATCATTGCTGTTTTCATAACTATCAAAAAAGTTTTTAAATGTTTGTAGAAGATAATGGAGAAGAAATCTTTTTTTTTTTTTTTTGAGTTGGAGTCTCACTCTGTCGCCCAGACAGGAGTGCAGTGGCCGCTCCCGGCCACCACAGCCTCGACCTGCTGGGCTCTGGTGATCCTTCCGCCTCAGCCTTCCAAGTAGCTGGAACTACAGGCGCGTGCTACCAAGCCCGGCTACTTTTTTTGATTTATTGTAGAGATGAGGTCTTGCCAAATTGCCCAGGCGGGTCTCAAACCCTCGGGCTCAGGCAATTCACTCCCCTTGGCCTCCCAAGGCAAGGGATTACAGGCTGAGCCACCAAGCCTGGCCGGAGAAGAAATCTTGAGGAATGGCTGGGAACGGTGGCTCATGCCTGTAATCCCAGCACTTTGGGAGGTCGAGGTGAGAGAATTGCCTGAGTTCAGGGGTTTGAGAACAGCCCTGGCAACTTGGTGAGCCCTTGTCTCTACAATAAATCAAAATTATCTGGGTGAGGTGGCACACGCCTGTGGTTCCAGCTACTTGGAAGGCTGAGGCAGAAGGATTGCCTAAGCCCAGCAGATAGAGGCTATAGTAGCTATGAGCATGCTACTGCACTCCAGCCTGGGTGACAGAGTGAGACTCCGACTCAAAAAGAAAAAAAAGAAAAAGAAAAAAGAAATCCTGAGGAACTAAATACCAGAGAGGGAAAAATCCCTTCCTAGATTCAAGATATTCAGTGAACCCCAAACAGATAAATGTAAAGAAAACAGCACCTAGTTAAACTGTTATATGCAAAAAATAATGAGAAAAACTGCAAAAAAGGGGGAATAGCAATAAGAATAACAGTGACTTTTCAATAAATAAAAAGAAAGAAAGAAAAATGGAAGCCATTTTTCAGTGGAACAATATTTTTAAAGTACTTAGAAAGAAAAATAAAATAAAATAAAAGCCAGTCTGTAATTCTGTATGAAAGCATAATTTACAAGACAAAGTGAAATAAAGACATTATCCAACAAATAAAATCTGAGAGAATTTATCCCCAGTGTACTCTCACTACAAGAAATATTAAGAAATATGTGAACCAATATTAATGACTGTTTAAAACATTTTAAAAGATTGCTGACTTTTTAAAGCAACAATAAAAATATATTGTGAAGGGTTACAACATATGTATAAGTAAAATATGACAATATCACAGAGAGCAAGGGGGGTAAGTGGAATTATATTATTAAAGGTTCTTATATTACTCATGAAGTGGTAAAGCACCCAGTTAAGGCAGATGTAATTAGTTAAGGATACATATTATAATTTCTGGTTACTAAAAGTATAAGATAACATACTACTGATCAAAAGCCCAAGAAAAGAGATCTAAAATAAAATAATTATATACTCAAGTCCCGTAATAATATACTCAAGTCCCGTAAAGAAAGGCAGGAGAGGAAGACAAAAAAACAGATGGGATAAATAGAAAACACATAGCAAGATAATGAACTTAATCCAGCCACATCAGTAATTACATTAAATATTAATATAAATCCTCAGGAGATTTAAATTAAGAGAGTGTCAGACTAGGTGAAAATAAAACTACCAAGACCTAACTATATGCTATTTCAGGAGGCCTACAGATAGATTGAAATTGAAAAGATGGAGAAAGGCAAGGCAAAAGATAAACTATGCCAATACAAACCATAAAAATATTGGCATGGAAGAATCTAAGTAGATATCAAAGTAGGGAATATTGCCAGACATAAAGAGGGTTGTTTCATGAAAATAGAAGGGAAAATTTCTTAGGAAAATATGCAATCCTAAATGTGATACAATTAATAATAAAAACGGACAAAACTGAAAATAGAAATAAATATCCAGAACACACTCATTAAGTATGAATTCAAACTTAATTTCACTTTTTACTTTTTTATTAATAGTCCCTGCTATGGGTAAAAAATAGTAAAAATACGGTACCTTACCCACTCCTTCTAGATTATCACCTTAGTTACAAAAAACCTTGATTTATGTAACTTTATTCCACATAGTACTTGCATGGGTCATGAACTAGAAGAATACAACTTCTGTGAAAACTGAATAAATCAATGTTTGGAAAAAAATCACAAAGGGGGGGAAATTAATCAGAACAAATTGTACAACAATAGAAACTGTTTTGAGGAAAAGGGTGTTTACATATAAATATTTTATATGTCCCATATATGTGTTAATTGCATATCAGTAGAAAATCTGGGGAAATGGACACCAAACCTTAAAGTAGTTGGAGACTACTTTAAAGACTTTTTTAAAAATAATTTTTTATCTTAAAGATGTGGGGTAAAATTCAGGGTTAGGTATACATATGTTAGTTTTACAGATACACTTGTTGATGAGGTGTGCCCCCACACCAGCAGTTTCCCACTGCTGCCAATCCCACTCCCCTTCCCCTCCCCTGGCAATTTCCCACTACTGCCAATCCCTTTCTTATAGTATCATTGTCCACTTATGAGTGAGAACAGTGGTGCTCAGTTTTCTGTTTCTGTGATAGATCGCTGAGTATGATAAACTCTAAATCCATCCAAGTTGCTGTAAAGTTTATATGCTTGTCCTTCTTTATGGCTGCATAATATTCCATTATGTATATGTACCACATTTTTTAAACCCAGTCCAGCTTCGATGGGCAGCATGGTTGGTTCTATGTTTTTGCTATTGTCAATAGTGCTGCAATAAACATGCGTGTACAGGTATCTTTCTGGTAGAGTGATTTGAGTTCCTCCTGGTATATTCCCAATAGAGGGATTGCTGGGTCACTTGGAAGGTCAATTTCTAGTTCTTTCAGAAATCGCCACACTGTTTTCCAGAGAACTAATTTGCATTTCCACCAGCAGTGTAGCAGAGTTCCTTTTTCTCCACATCCTTGCCAGCATCTGTTGTTGTTTTATTAATGATGGCCATTCTTACTGGGGTTGGTGGTATCTCAATGTAGTTTTGATTTGCATTTCTCTGATGATTAGTGAGACTGAGCACTTTTTCCTATGTCTGTTGGCTGACCATATATCTTCTTCTGAGGAGTGTCTATTCATTCAGTGTCTATTTTCCTTTTGGCATGTTTGAGTTCCTTGTAGATCCTAGATGTTGGGCTTTTGTCAGATATATACTTTAAAGACTTTCACTCTTTTATTTATGTGCTGCAATATGGTTTGAATTGTCTCATGCACATGTAACGCTTTTAAACCTAATGCTGGCTTAGCCACTTCCTGGCTAAACCAAAGCCACATTACATCCCTAAGTGCCACTTAGTATCTGAGAAACAGCACTAGATTATCATGTAGTGTTCTCCTATCTGGAATGGAGTCTTGTGAAGTTAGTTGTATAATTATCTGTTTTCCTTACTGAACTATGTTATATTAAGAGTTAGGTTGAGCACTAGGACCTGGCACATAATTGCTGCTTAATAGGTATTTGTTAAATGCATGAACTAATTTTTGCTACCTCCAGCTCAAGGACATGACTTGGTGTTCCATGTTTTAAGTCTTGAGAAGTAGTAAGCTCCCAGCTTCCTGAAGTTAGCATCCATTGACTTATGACTTATTTTTGGTGCAAAAAACACACACCAGAGATTATGAATTAGAGAAGAGAAAAGAGTTAGGGAATGTTGGGAGAGATGCATTTTACAGTGTGTCAAGATATGAATACTGGCACATCATGTAAACTCTTAGAAACTGATGCATACAAAGTAATGTTTGCTCTCAATCCTCTCAACCTTCTAGAATCTCTTGGCATAGAGGTGGAACATTGAATTGATTAGGAATATAACTTTGTGAATAAATCAGAGATATAAGCTACAATTAATTCAAGGGAATTTCCTAAAACTAATGGTTCATCTAGTGCTGAGGCATAGAGAGCTGGTATGTGCTGGAGGCAGAATTTGAACCCAGACTGATACCAGAGCCCATGCCCTCTACTACTTCCAAAGCTCCATGTGTGTCAAGTCCAAGATAGTTTTCCTTGTTGAAGACATATATCCTGAGGGGATGACAAATGATGCCTGGGACTCCAGGTTGCCGTAGGGTCAGTGCTTTTTGACTAGGTAGGAGGGGTACCTGGGCAGTGGCTACTGAAAGATAGTTCTTAGGAAAACAGAAGAAAGCAGTCTAGCCCATTAGTGCCCCCAAATATGTGATGCTCTTCTATAAATACAGTTGTCTTTAAGTATTGAAAAAAAATGTCATATGGACTGGGCTTCTCTCTTTTTCATATACTTCTTAAAGATTCATATGTGCTCTTTTTTCACATTCTTGATGTTCTTCAGTATAAGGATATAATCAAACTCTTCCTAATACACCTCTGAATATCCATGGAGATACCATGAATCTAATTTTTAAGGACTGACAGTGGCCAGGCATCACTCTAAGAAGCTTAGAGAAAAGAGATCAATATGACACTCTCTCGAAAGACAAATACTGCATGACTTCATTTATATG